GCCCGCTGCCCTGACTCACCCTGAGTGAGAACATGAAGCTCTGCTGGCTGTCCCTTCAGGTAGCGCCCGGCCGTCCCTGGGAACACAGAGCCTGTCAGGCCCAGCGGCACAGCTCCTGCCAGCGGCGCTGCCAGCCCTGTGCGCACACGCCCTCCTGGCCCGGCTCGTGGCTCACCTATGAACCTGACGGCCGCCTCTCGCAGGGGCTCCTGTGGGCTCTGCAGGTAGGGCAGGGCCCGGCGCAGGAGCTCGGCCACGCTGCTGCTGTCCTCTGCCAGCTGCAGAGAGAGACAGGAGGGAAGGGTTGGCCCCGCAGCCCCCCGGGCCGGGGCTCCATGGGCACCCGGCTGGGGCCGCAGGAGCCTGGAGCAGAGCCCGCGCGGCCTCGGGCTGCAGCAGCGGGCAGGGGCACAGCTGCCAGCCCGCACACCGAGCACCGCGCTCAGGGGCTGCTCCAGGCTGGGGCTGCGGCTTCCCGGCCCTCCTTACCAGGCAGTTGGCGAACTTTGACAGCTGCTCCTTCTTTACCATCTGCTTCATACCCTTCTTCTTCAGGAACCCAGCAGCACAAAGCAGCGTTTCCCGAGAAGCCTGGAGAGCAGCAGTGACCCAGAGATGGCTCCATAGCCCAGGGCACAGGACCCGTGTCCCTGTGCCAAGGCCTGGAGGAGGCTGCAGCCCGCCAGGCGCCAGGGCAGGAGGCAGCCCAGGCCCCTCCCAGAGATCCAGCAGCATCACACAAAACCTCACCTTCGCCACACGCTGGTTGTCCTCGTGGCAGTGCAAGAAGAGCGGGAGCAGGCTCTGGTTCACAATTCTCTTCAGGGGCTTTTTCCCCTCATCCACTATGAAGTCCATCACCTTTTCGAAAAGTTGAATGGAGAGCAGCTGCACATGGCTGCTGTCCTGGAGGAAAGGAAGCAGAAAAGTCCTCAGAAACAACTTCTCGAGCCCACCTGAGTAAAAGACTAAAAATCCACAGGGTGCAAAGTTTATGGGCAGCAGCCAGTCCTATGCCTGGGGCCATGAGCCTTACATGGTCAAAGAGTTCTAGGAGTGCCTCAGCTAGCTTTGGGGCAGTAGTGCTGGATATCAAGATATCCTTGTTCTGGAGAACATTCATGAAGACAGAGAGGGACATGCTGACCACCTCTCCATCTGCATCGCGCAGAACATCCACAAGCAGTTGAGACAGGATGCCTATTCTTCTGGCCTGTGAGGAACACAAGGCAGGGCTGGGAAGCCGTGGCCGGCTGCACGGCTAACACCGCCCTGGCACTGCAAGCCCACCCCGCTGCTGCAGGGCCCACAGGCCAAAGGCCTGTCCCAAAGCACTGGGGCAGGTGAGGCAGGAGAGCTGGGAGCAGCTGCCTCAGCTCCTGAAGCCCTGCCAGCCCAAGGGGCTGCTTTGCCCAGCGCAGCTTCAGCCGCTGCCTCCTTCTCACCATCGAGGGATCCTTGGTGAGCACCATGAGGCCTCGGAGCGCCAGGCGACGCCGCTCCCTGCACTCACTCTGCAGGTACCTTGACATCATCTCCAGAATGCTGCCACCGCATTCACTCAAGTCCAGGCACCCGAGGACCTGAAAGGCACAGGGCAGTGACAGGGGACCCGGCTGGCAGGAGCCCAGAACCGCACAGGGCGGGCCCAGGCAGCAGCACAGGGCGTGGGCACCGTCCCAGGCAGCTGCGGCTGCGAGAGGGCAGAGAGCTGGGAGGCAGCAGAGCCAGGCAGTGCTGGCCAACAGGCTCACCTCCACCAGGAATGCCAGGAAGGGCAGATCGCAGCGATGCCCTTCTGTTCTGAGCAGCCCAAGCAGGTGGAGTGCAATGCGAGAACACAAGGGGATCAAGTCACAGCGCATCTCCCTAGCATGAAGAAAAGGGCACCAAGACCCTGAGGTGGGGAGACCAAGCATCTCCCAGATCTGGCTCACAAAGATCTTTCCCCAGCATCCCTGGAGGGGATGTGGGCCCTCTGAGAGGCAGCTCCTTCTAGGCATCCTCCTCTCCCAGCCTTTTCCAGTCTGCTTGGCCGTCCCTCAGTGAAAAGGCCCTCTGGCCCATGACCGCAGGGACTGTGAGGGGCACCTGGGCACAGGGCACAAGTATTGGGGACCGTGGGGAGCAGGGGGTCTCACCTGGCCAGCAGACCCACAGCATAGTGCTGGGTGTCAGCACACAACAGTGTGTCCCAGCCATGCTTGCGTCCCATTTTCATGACCACATGGTCACACTGCAGCCGGCAGAACAGAGCCTTCATAGTCTGCACTGCAAACCTGTGTGCAGAGCAAAGCCCAGATCATGCTGTGATCTCTGCCTCCTGCCCTGGAGACATGGGAGGCATGGAAGAGCTGGGATGGAGCACCTGCTGGGGTTTGTGTTAAGGTGGTGTTCTTCCTGGCATTGCTTCCAAAAGGCATCGACCTCCTCAGAAGTATTCGCTGTGCTGTCGCAAATTTGAACTACCAGAGCCACGAGCAGTTGGGGAGCAAAAGTGTTCATTGCCTCATGGCACTTGGGCACCTGGACAATCACCCAGAGCACCAGAGTTGCCTGCAAAAGAAGCAGCCCAAGGCAGCGCTCAGTGCCGAGGTGTCCATGGGGCAGGGCCCAAGAGCCGGCACAGGGGGAGCAGCGGGCCTGGTGCCCCCTGAGCCTGCCCCTAGCCCAGGTTTCAGCCCAGCAACTG